GTAAAACTCAATGGTCGACTGATTTCAGAGACTTAATCCCTTTCTCTGCCTCCCGCTAGCTTTAAGGATTTCCTGAAGAGCAGGAAGAAACATGGTGCCAAGGCTGCTGATGATTTAAACAGTACGTCTAACCACACGCAACATAACCTTCAGCATAAAGCACTGAGATTTAACAGGGACTCTGCTTTAATCTTAGATTATCGACGAGATCCCTCATCTTGATATATGTCCTGTGTTCCTGGAAAGCATCTTAATTGTTTCAGGCAGTAATTCTACAGCATCTCTTCTTTGCATAAAACATTTGATGGAACAAACATACAAAACACGCAAATATACACAGACCCCTGACAGTGCAGTAAATAACACTGATTATGTCTTCATCATGACACCTGTTAGTAGGTGGGAAATATTTGGGTGCAAGTGAACATTTTACCATGAAAGTTGATGCTAGAAGCAGAAAAAATGGGCAAGCGTATGGATTTGAGTGATTTTGACTCACTGTGATGGCTAGATGACTGGGTCACAACATCTCTAAAATTGCAGCTCTCGTGGGGTGTTCAGAGACTCCCGTGGTCAGTGTCTATCAAAAGCTGTCCAAGAAACAGCGGTGATGCGGTGACGGGCTCATGGATGGCCAAGGCTCATTGATTCACATTGAGCGAAGGCTGACCTGTGTGGTCTAAACAGAAGAGCTACTGTAGCTCAAATTGCTGAAAATGTTCTGATAGAAAGAGAGCATCACAATTTGTTGAGTATGGTCCGCAAAGCCACAGACCAGTCAGGGTGTCCATGCTGACCCATGTCCACCTCTGAAAGTACCAACAATGGGCATGTGAGCATCAGAACTGGAGCATGGAGCAATGAAAGAAAGTGGCCTGATTTGAGAAATCACATTTTCTTTCACATCACATGGATGGCCAGTTGTGTGCATCAGTTACCTGGGGAACACCAGGCACCAGGATGCACTATGGGAAGAAAGCAAGTTGGCGGAAGCAGTGTGATGCACTGGGCAATGTTCTGCTGGAAGACCTCAGGTCCTGTCATCTATGTGAATGTTACTTTGAAATGTACCACCTACCTAAGCATTGTTGCAGAACATGTTCACCCTTTCATGTTAACAGAACTCCCTGATGGCTGTGACCACTTTCAACAGGATAATCTGTCCTGCCACAAAGCAAAAATGATCCAGGAACGGTTTGAGGAGCACAACAACAAGTTTGAGGTGTTGACTTGGCCTCCAAATTCCTTAGATGTCAATCCAATCGGGCATCTGTGGGATGTGCTGGACAAACAAGTCCATGGGGGCCTCAAATCACTTTTTAAAGGACTTGCGAGATCTGTTGCTAACACAGCTACAGGGTCTAGTGGAGGCCCTGCCTTGATGGGTCAGGACTGTTTTGGCATCAAAAGGAGAATATTAGGCAGGCGGTCATAATGTTATACCTAAATAGTGGAAGTTGTCAAAATAGGGACAATACACCACACTGATTTAAAAAAACTGTCATAGAAGACTAAGAAAGCAATCTCAGCACCAATATTCATTTTCATTACTTAAGAAGCAGCTCCCTTGTTGGACATGAAGGCAAGAGCAGTGGATGAAATGATGGAGAGAATAAAGAAAGGCATCGTCCTGAGACCTATGAAGAGAATACAGGTAGAAAAATCGCACTGTGAATTGACATTTGATATATCAGTGTTTTCCAAAGAAACTGATAAAAAAGCATAGCCTGCAGAAATAAATATAAACTCTGTCTCATAACCATCTAACTTCTTCCCACAGGAGGACGACAGTTCCTGGAAGGTCAGTTATCCCGCCGTTCTTCATTTTCTGTTATAACACAGCTGTGATCTGTGTCAGTGACAGATATTTGTTTTTTTGCAATCCACACTTTTCTTACAGGACCAGAAAAGTGACAACAGAAAGTCAGCCATCCTGGAGTTGAAAGGAATGCTGGTAATAACTATAAAATCAAATTTCACTGTGGGCTGAAAGTCACATCTGTGTTGCAAAAGAAAAAAAAAAACCTTACAGCCGTGAGCGATGCATGGCAGCTTGATCTGCTGTGTTTTATCCATCTTTAACTATTTAATACATCAGGACAACATGAAGCGTCAGCACCTCCGCAGAGTGCCATCCAGGAGGGGAACTGGCCGAAATGTGGGCGAAGCAGAGCTCCTGATGGTGCTCCAGAGGCGGAGGAGAGCAATGGGAGACAATCAGGAACCACCACCCTCAAATCAACCACAGGGTACGCTGACAAGCATGGTGTTTTCTTAACCATATACTATACAGTACCTTCACAGTGTGACGCTGGCTAATTATAAATGGCCTGTCTGCCATTAATACATGAATGATTCATGCTTAATTAAGGCTTCAAAGAACAGAGAGTGATTTTACAACACTTGTTTTTTGAAAAAAAGCATCTATTATCACACAATATCCGATTTTGTTCTATCTAAAACATGAAAACATAGCTGCCAAAACGAATGCTGGGTTTTGTGCATGTGTTCCCACACTCAGCAAAATGACAGCTCAGGTGCCTTTATAATCTTATGACCTTCTAGAACTCTTTAATCAGCTTAAATTACAATGAGATCACAATAAATTGATTCTAATTTGTTTATTAGATTGTTTTCTTACATTATTTGTGCTTTCAGGTGCAAGGCACGAGCACAAACAGATGAATACACTTTTTTAGCCTTACCGAACACTCAAAGGTCTTTTAACTACAAGTCACACTTTAACTGTGTGCACTTGAGGCTCTTTATTTACCTCACATCCGTGACCAATTTAGATCGCCATTTAACCCAACAAGTCTTTGGAGTGTGTGAGGAAGCCTTAGTCTCCAGAGAAAACCTGCTTCAATGGGTTTAACATGCAAGCTCCACACAGAAAAGCCCGACCAAGGATAAACACACCAGTCTTCTTGCTGTGAGGCGACAGTGCTAACCACTCCACCACCGTGCCACCAGTTCTGATTGTATCTCTGCTCCAAGGCACTGTCTCTCAAGGCACCCTCTGACTTCTGTGTGTCCTCTATTGCTTATGTGCACCACATATAATTTCTATGCCAGGTATTTCAAACATAAGGTTGGGGGAACCAGAGTCTCCAATCTGGATTTTGTTCAAATATTTGTCATATATTAAAATGGGGCGCATTAACCTGAACTATAAGGGTTAAGTGGATCGGTCTTACTGTTGTTGTTTGTTAATTGTGTCTATTGTATATAAATATGATGCATTTGTTTCCCTGCTCAAAGAGGCCAGTTTAATTTGCCTTCCATATGTCCCACTCTGATATCTCATAAATGCTGTCAGATTGGGCACAAACATTCACTTTGACTCAAAGATGAGTGGAACTTGGTGGTGGAAGGTCAGCGTTACTCTGACCTCACAAAACAGCTTTGGACTTTACATGGAGACTTCATTTACCAACTAGACACAATTTCACAGAAATGTCTGATAGTGTAGAACGATGATGTTACCATTTATATCAACCTGCTCTCATCTCAAGACATCGGATCCTGCCGTTTTGTCTGAAGCTGATGATGTCAGAGAAATGCAGTGGGTTCTGTTTGATAGGTCAAGACGTGCGAGGAAGTGGGAGTGAGTGTTGCAGATCATCAGTGAGCCATTTCTTACCATCTGTTTAGGTTTGCTTTCACTTGCTGTTTATCTTAGCGTTGGAAATATACCCATTAAATCATAAACCCTGCACAGTGAAAAATAATGCATGTGTGTGTTCAATGCACATCAAAAATAACACACCCACTGCATTTAAATGTTTAATAAAGAAGGGTTTAAGTGCATAAATGACAAGCTGGGAGTGACATTTGTCTCCTGATTGCTGTGGGTGGCGTCTTGGCACCAAGACCTAAGGACACCTTTGCGCTTGTCTCCATGTCGCTAGCGGCTTGTGACAAAACTAAAAAGGTCAAAAGTCAACTTCACTGTGGCTACATTTCACATGTGGTAGGGTACTGAATAGGTGACGCTGATTGGTTGTAAAGATCTTCTGTGCTGCTGGGTTGAAGACGTATGTGAGCCAGCCCTTCTGTAGTATTGATGGCTCTCATGATTATAACTTAGTCGTCCAAAAATAAATGCACGTGACACGTTTCATTAAACTCAAAGTGTTAGCGCAAATACCACATGAGTCTAGGGCAGATGTGAGTGGTCGGTGGCTTACAACCAGGAGGTTAGTTACAAATGCAAAGTGCCTACCAGGATGTAACCAGGACACATGCTTTTAGATGTTTTTCATTAGTTTAAAAAAGAGAGAGAAATTCTAGATGCCAGCTTTTAGTATTTGTTTGCATTAATACTTCTAATGATCTTCATCCACTTATTTTTAAAAAAGGAAAGAAGTTATGCAAATTCACTGTTAAAAGGGAAAGATACAGACACAAAAGGGAGAAATAACTGGCTCCCTTTCAGGCCGAGAGCCATTTCGCTCCCTCTGACTTACCTATATTTCCTAATCAGAGAAAACCTCTTTATTCTCTACCTGCTTTCAGTTGTTTTAGCCCACCCTTTAGCTCCCATTTTCAGACTCGTGCCTAAAATGAATATGCGGTGATCTCTGTGCAGATGTCCAACCAGGTTTGCCGTGTGTTCCAGTGGCAGGCGACGCTCCCTGGGCAGGTGAGAGCGGCAGCGCCCCTGTGCTCCGGAGGCTGAAGCAGAACCGAGAGAAGAGAGACTCTCGCATCAGAGCATCAGCACTGTTCATCAGTCACCAAGCCTGACAGCTGTGAGAGGAGGACATGCTGGTTGCTATTATTATTATTATTATTATTATTATTATTATTGTTATTATGATACTGCAGGTTTATATGACAATAGACCAAAGATGATTGAGCAAACTACGCATGTTTGACTTTAAAAGAATCCATTTTATCTTTACATCTTTCGGTATTTAAATGCACTGCCTCCTTGATGTCTTACAACAAACCAGCACTGCCTGACTTGCCTTGAAAATTTAAAATAAAAACTTTAGCTGTGCGCTCTCTATCCGACAGCAGTTGCTTGTGTTTGTTTTATTTTCTTGAGGGAATCCGAGGGTCAGGATTATATCGTAAACGAACATTAAATCTTGCATTTCCAGCTAAAGAAAAACAAAGAAAAGCATTTTTCAAATGCCATTTAACCCAGGTCTATAAAAACCTTGTTGCGTGTCAAAGGAAATGGCACTCTTTCAGCCGTATTTAATAGTCAGCATCATCCCTTTCAGAAACTGGGATTTCAGCTGATCTAAGTGCAGAAAATAGATGGAAAATAGCCCGAGCCATTAAAGAAAACACTTGCGTGAATGTGATTGCCCGCTCCTCTCCCAAGGTGTCTGTCTCTTAAAGCTCGATCCAGCAGAAGAATAGTGGCTGCCATTCATTTGGACACATTAAAGCTGTCGCACCGAGAGCCCAGAGGTGCTGCTGAGATAAGAGCCTCGGGTGATCTGTGTGTGTCCCCCCTGAAAGTTTCTTTAAAATGTAGCAGGCTGCCTTTTGTTTTCTCACCTCCACACAGGTCCTGCATATATATGTGCGCATGCATGCATACATGAATGAATCCATGCACCTTCACACTGTGCTACCTGCCTCCCTGTCTATCTGCGTTTGTTAAAAGCGTTTGAAAAGAGGATGAAATTACTCCCACCTTTGACTTTGACACCATTTTACTGTCTTCACACTGTTTCACATTATATATTTACTTTATTTAGCTCTGTACCAGAAGGTCTGCCTTTTCACTCTTAATCATGCATTTTTTATTGGTTTATATCTCAGTCTCAGAAGTGTCAGGCTTTGAGACATAGTGTGTACTCGCGTCTTTCTAGCTGTTGAATCCATGCACACAAAAGCTCGTGTCTAAGTGCGAGAGAAAGAAACGAAGCCCTCTGAAAAGGATCCTATAGATACAGATGATATTAAAGATGTGTCATTGACTCACACTGAGGTGAGATTCAAATAATGTAAATAAATTTTCCTCTTAATGTGTTTTTCTTTAACTATAAATGCGCGCTGATTTCCTTGCAATGAGCTCTAATCGTGGCTGCTATTAAACCCACTTCTAAGTCTACGTATCCTGAATCAAATTTAACTGAGCCAGTGGCCCATTCTTCAGAAACGAACACAGAGATCTGGTCTTCTTGGTTAAAACTAATTTTTGTATTCATCAGCTTCCTACAGGGGAGGCTGAAAAACTGCTTTAAGCTGCAGAATAAAATAATTACACAGATATTGTTAATCTAAAGTATATACAATGTGGCTACTTGGGGACCAAGAGAAACGAGGTTTGACGTCCTACTGCTGCTGATGTCTGTGGTTTGTATATTTAATTAACGGTGGAAATACTTAGAGCACACATTTTCCTCACTTTTTCTTACAGATTTCCTGCCATCATGAGCTATAGTAGGAAATATTTTGACTTCATAAGGATACATTTGGTCTTACAGCTGTGGAAGCCTGAAACTGCCATAATTAAACACGAATAAATAAAAAACTAAATAAAGAAGTAAAGAATACCCATTAAATAAATCTGCTTCTATTAAAAGCCTCAAAAATATAAAAATGACAAAATCTACGTTTTAAATAAATTAATACAAGTGAAAATGAAATGTTAATGTCACTAACAGGTGAATTAATGCTAACTCTGAGATTCTATCTCAGCTGTCACGTGGTTGCTGGTCTGTAGAATGACCAACAATCATGCACACTCACACCTACTCTTAATTTAGAATCACCAGTTGGCATGAGATGCATGTCTGTGGACTGTGGGAGGAAGCCCATGCAGCCCATACAGAGCGTCCAAACCCGACACAGCTGGCTGGCCAGAGCGTTCTCACTGGCAGGTTTGAACCACTGTACGCTCGTGCTGTGAGGCTGTAGTGCTAACCACTGCACTACTGTAACTGCTTTAATATAAACATTCATATCACATTTTTGGCGCATTTAATGGCATGTTTGTTTGTTTTTGACCATGCCAGTACAATTTATCACGATTTTGACCTTTATTAAATAGTAGATGTAGTAATTGTTATTTAGAAAGAAATACTTTTTGACTTGATTTCTTAAAGATTGACTTGAACATTTTTACAAAAATTTTGACTTACTGTATTTTCTTTTCACATTTCTAAATTTTTGTGTATTTTTGTGGTTGGCACAAATAGATTTACATGGTGAAATTTAACATATTATCATTCAAATATCTTTGGACATTTGGAGAGGGTGTACCCCCCGTCCCACAAACACACACATAGAGGCACCACCCTTTATATTTTTTTTATTATTAACTCAAAAAACATTATTCCTCTCGCGTTGCATTACTCCTCCCACCACAGGTGGGGCTGTAACTAAACAAGTCAGTTCTTCCGGGCTCTGAGGCCTGGCTTTACGACTCTCCTCAGCTCGTACTGAAACACCAGGGGGAGGAACTTTGACCAGCGCTAGTTAGCTACCAGCTAGCTGCTCTCTCTATTATTTTCTTATTTTGTGTGCTGTTGCATATGCAGAGCAATGTGGTTTATTTATTTACTGAGCTGGCTGTCGCTGCTCATCCAGATATCCTTCGTCACGTTAGCAATAGGTAAGTGCTTGCTGAAATCCCCCTGCAGCTGTTAGCCTAGGTAGCTCATATTTGCCTGCCAATGCTAGCGGATCAAGTCAGCAGATTAAGGTGCGCTAGCAAGTGATAACTGAGCTCCGCTTTGCCAACAGCTATCGACTCAAAACGCAGTAATAAAATATGCATGTAAGCCGTGTTAGTGAACGAAGCAGAGTCCTGAAAGCTACCTACTGGCGTCTGGGCTAGTTAGCTTTAAAGGACAGGAAGTTAAGAGGAAGAGAATTGATTGAAAAAAAAGATATTAGATATTTTGTAATGACTACCTTTAAATGTTAACAGACAATCTTTATTAGGTAAATGTTCAAATTTTCTTTTTTTTGGGGGGGGGCAGTAGAATCACTTTCTCTTTGTCTTTAACTCCTAATCGATACTAACTGATCAGCCGATTCAGCAGCACAGAGTTCGGCCTCTTTTTGTAATCTGGTGTGAAGACCGACTCCAACTGCAGGATTCATGCTAATCTAACGTGAAGGCTTGAAATTACGCTCATGTATTTCTGTTTACATCAGAGAGGAGGATGTTAGCGCAGGAGAGGAGCAGCCTACATGTACGAAACTTTTAATGAAGGCTTGGCCCAAAGCCAGAGGTCCGTCCATGTAGACTTTTACCTGGCCACGTAACACCTACTGCATGACACGCTCAGTCATGTGACCTGACCTGTCAGCAGATGAGAAAATAAAACAGCAAATATTCATGACGTATATCGTTTTCATTTTCAATGAGACAACTCATGACATGAGTTATCTCATTGTGTCCTCATTTTTTTATAGATCAAATCAAATCACTTTTATTGTCACATCACATGTGCAGGTACACTGGTACAGCACATGTGAGTGAAATTCTTGTGTGCGAGCTTCACAAGCAACAGAGTTGTGCAAAATACAATAATGTAAACAAGCAAAATACAAGAATGGCTACATCTGAAACTAATAAATATATGTACAATATATAATAGTATATGCATTTCTGGATGTGTATACTAAATATTTTTCTACGTGTGTGTGTGTGTGTGTGTACACATATTTTACAAATTAAATAGATTAAACAATAAATAAAATATATAAAATAAAATATACAGAGTGAGACATGTGCAAAACAGTGGCGTTACTGTACAGTATGGAGTGCATAATGTTAAAGTTCCAGTAGTGAAGCTGAGGTGTCTATGACGTGTTCAGCAGTCTGATGGCCTGATGGAAGAAGCTGTCTCTCAGTCTGCTGGTACGGGACCGGATGCTGCAGAACCTCCTTCCTGATGGAAGTAGTCTGAACAGTTTATGGCTGGGGTGACTGGAGTCCTTGATGATCCTTCCCGCTTTCCTCAGGCAGCGCTTCCTGTAGATGTCTTGGAGGGAGGGAAGCTCACCTCCAATTATCCGTTCAGAGCACCGCACTACTCGCTGGAGAGCTTTGCAGTTGTAGGCGGTGCTGTTGCCATACCAGGTGGTGATGCATCAAGTCAGGATGCTCTCAATGGCACAGTGATAGAAGGTCCTGAGGATGCGGGGGCTCATGCCGAATCTTTTCAGTCTCCTGAGAAAGAAGAGGCGCTGCTGCGCCTTCTTCACTGTTTTGTTTGTGTGTACTGACCACGTAAGATCCTCAGCCAGATGTACTCCGAGGAAACGGAAGCTGCTCACTCTCTCCACAGCAGTGCCGGTGATGGGGGTGTGTACTTCTCTGCACCTCCGGAAGTCCACTATCAACTCCTTTGTCTTTGCGACGTTGAGGGTGAGATGGTTGTCTTGACACCAGTGGGTCAGGGCGCTGACCTCCTCCCTGTAAGCCGTCTCATCACCGTTGGTGATAAGACCCACCACTGTAGTGTCGTCCGCAAACTTCACAATGATGTTGGAGTTGTATAGATCAAGGCCAGCGTACGCCAAGCTTAACTGTTTATTAAGTGTTCATTAGTTTTAGAATTATTTGTTTTAATATTTTTGGACAAGTAACAGTGTTTGTTATTACTGTTTAAGGACTATAGTTTGAGTAAGTTTAATTGTGTGTGCAAGCTGCAAACACATGGCCTTCAACACACAAAGCCATTACTCATAACTCAGATGCTTATTCTGATTAATAACACATAACTTCTTTTTAAAAAAATCATACTTTAGCCAATAGTGGTTATAGAAAGCTGTTATATTTAGTGAAAGAAGTACAGACCTGTTTTATGTCTTGGCTTCTCCCTCACAGGTAGTATCCAGTTCACACATATTGACGAGTCTGATCAATTTACTGTCTGTTTGGCCTTCCTTCCACATGAGCTCAGTAACTGTGGGTCGTGTCAGTGTTGCTCAAATGAACCTACATTATTTGGTCCGTCTTTGTTGCTCTGCCACGGCTGTTCACAGGAGCTAGGTATTGAATGTCGATAAAGCCTTTGCAACAAATCTTGAAAAATGTCACATACTCAGTTTGCCTTCAGTAAATTTTAGCTGCTCAGGTGTTGAATCCTTTCTCCTCGTGGCTCCAAAACCTAAACTGTACCACCTGCTTTCCCTAAATTTGTATGTAAATGTTTTATTTATTTCTTTTTTTAAGCAGAATGATTTGCAGCAAAAGCGACAGAACAAATTTAGCAGTCTATAAAAAAACAAACAAAAACAACCCTAAAAGTAACTGTGTCTTACTCTTTTATTCACACTGACGCCCCTCCCCAAGTCTTCTTCTTTGGTTGCTCATTACCTTTCATTTTCTCTCAGCTGCTGGCCTCTACTACCTGGCTGAACTAATAGAAGAGTACACAGTAGCCACCAGCCGAATAATAAAGTACATGATACTGGTGAGTATTTGGGTGTGACTTAATGATGAGATTGTCTTTAGGTACTTGTTTTAATGATGTGCTGTACATGCAGGTCAACAGTGGTTTTTACGATTTCTGTGGATGTGTCCAGTTCTCTACAGGGGTGCTGGTATGCCTCTATATGTTCGAAGGCTTTCCAATGTTGATGGTGGGAGTCGGTCTCTTCACAAACCTGGTTTATTTCGGACTCCTGCAGACCTTCCCCTACATACTTCTGAGCTCCCCAAACTTCATCCTCTCCTGTGGTAAGTGTAACACACATTTGCCTTGAATTATTTGGTAAAACTAAGCAAATACAATCTGAAAAGGGGGGAAAAGTTAACAAATCAATAAGGATGCTATCTGCTATTAACACTGATCAGCCTGAACTGCTTTAACTGTGTTTTATTGATCATATCATTACCAACCAATATTACACTGGAAAGCCTTGAGTTCTGGTAGTGGCCTCCACTGGCAGGATAATGTGCTTCACTGCACAGCAAACAAAACAAACAGCCTGAGGTTTTGTTCACAGGGTTGCACTATAAAGCCAGATTAATGGCTTGGTGAGCTGTGTCAAGCTTAAAGAAAAGGTTTTTTGTGTCAGAAAAGCGGCTCTCTTTTTCTTGGTTAAATCACCATGGTAACTCATGCGAAATACTGATTCTTGGTTGGAGCAAAATCATGTTCAATTTCAGATTTAAAAATCACCTGGAAGCGCCGCATTTTTACTGTTTCTTTAATTTAGAGCTCGTTTTAAGTGCATTAAAGATTCTCTGTATGATTTAAATAATTAAATTGTTAAGCTGTACTTTTTATCATTATCATCTACTAATGTCTCTGACTGGAGTAGGTGTCACTCACAGGGATCATTTTGTGCTGATGAAGAGTCACATGACCTGTGAAATGCTCCTTTATAAGTGAGTGCTGAGGGCCTGAAGCAAGCTTAACAGGAGTTTTTATAGCTGCCCTTTGTGATAACTGTTGTTGAGCCAGCTACAGGAAAGAAAGCCTGGTTTTGTTAAACTTCTTGTATAGTACACCCCTCTGGCCTCCAGACTCCCCAGATCCAAATCAAATGAAACGTATGCAGCATATCCTGAAACAAGCCCAATCCACTTTAACTTTCCACTACCAACAGCCCCGTGCCAGGACAGGTCAGAGCTGTTTTGGTGAAACAGTATTTTGCAGGAGGTTTTAATATTTTGGCCTGGTTGTTGTGTGCACATCTAGAAGGATAGATTCATTTTCCTTTAGTCCTAATATGGACTTCTTACACATTAAACTGTGAGTCAAATGACAGCGTTTGTCAGTGTAATGAGTGTAAATTTTCTCGCTGCAGTGTTGGTGGTGGTGAACCATTACATGGCCTTCCAGTACTTTGCACAAGAGTATTACCCATTCTCAGAGGTAATGTAATCTCAGATTCACAATACTGTGTACAGTTTTGGATATAGATCTTTTTATATTTCTCTTTCTTGTATAATCATGTGCCATTTATGCTCAACTGGACATAGGTGCTTGCCTACTTCACCATCTGCCTGTGGGTGATCCCCTTTGCCTTCTTTGTGTCGCTGTCAGCAGGAGAAAATGTTCTCCCGTCCACCATGCAGCAAGGAGGTAAGTCTCAATGCTGCCATTGCTTTTAACAGACTTTGCTCATTAGCCCGGCTAGCTCAGTCGGTAGAGCATGAGACTCTTAATCTCAGGGTCGTGGGTTCGAGCCCCACGTTGGGCGCGTTCTTTTTTGCACTTGCTCTTAGTTTCTGAAGTACATTGTAAGTTTTTAAAACCTGTTTCCTGCCTTCTATGTGTCAGTGCAGTCAGAAAACTCATGTTTTAAATGACATTTCCTGTTTCCCCCTCCCCCCCCCCTTTTTTTTTAGATGATGTAGTATCTAATTACTTCACCAAGGGCAAACGGGGGAAGAGGTCTGGGATCCTCCTGGTGTTCTCTTTCCTGAAGGAGGCAGTGCTGCCCAGCCGACAGAAAATGTACTGAAGGCTTGAGAGTCTGGGGCGCTGCCTCGGGGGTCAGTGGGGACGTGCGAGTACGTGTTGAAGATCAAAGGGGAAGCAGGAAGGACAGTGGAAATTGTTTCTGGATGGGACTAAAACGACGCTGTGGCCAAATGGGGAAGAAAGGCTTATTAAGAAATAAATAACTTAAAAAAAAGGACGGACCAATGAACAGATCAGAGCTTCCTGCTGGACGAGCCCGGCGAGTTTACCCAGGCCACGTCTGTCTGTCTTTGTCTTTCTGTCTGTACTGACTGCCAGTAACACCCACCAGAGACCTCGTTGTGGGGATCCTATGTGTAGCGTGATGCTTTCATGTCAAGTTGGACTCATTTTTTTTAAAGCTTTAGTAATAAAATATCTACATGTGGGGTTTAAAAAATAACAACCAGAGATAAATACTTGTTTTTCCTTTCTGTCGTACGTGTGTCAAAGGCCTCACACTTCATCTGATTCCATACACGGAGTAGTGTTAAAAATAAGAAGAAATTCTGATGAAGAGGATTTCTTAGATATGAGACAGATCAGAGGTACTTTATGATTAATTCCTGCACTCCAAACTTGGATTTTGGTTTTAAAAAAATGGCATATTAGTTGCTACAGGTCGCCAAACAAACATTTTAATTAGATTACTGGAAATGAAGAAGGACAAACTGTGGAGAAGTCCTGCTCTGTTTTACAAAGTATGACATGGTATAAACAATATCCCGCCTGGCATATAATATCTCAGAAAATGAATTCAGCAAAGGCACTTGTGAAGGGTTACTTTTAACTATTGAAGTGAGCTACGAGGCATGTTTCCTGCACTGGATCTCAGCGCTCATCAGCATTTGGCCACAGAAACGATAAGATTTCATGTGCTTCTACTCATAAACCACCAGCACTACAGCATCCTTTGTTTGTTTTGTTTTTGTTTTGGACTGTTTGTAAGAATTTAAACTGACATACCTGACATCAAAGACAAATGTAAACACTTGTAGAGATCAAACTTTTGCAGTGACTTTTTTTAAGCTCACTGCTGTTGGGGAGAAAAGCTGCTCCGTGTGGTATAAAGAGACAAACATTAAAAAGGACAAAATTCCTTTTATCAATTCCCCAGTGTGATTCACTGCAGGCTGATATGCGCGCAGCTGTGTAATTAAAAGAGTTTAGTGAAATAACTTTGGATTAAATGGTTATTTTTTACAGGCTGAAATAAAGGGAACAGAAACACTTACAGATGTTTATTATTTACAGTTAAATCAGGTTATAGCTTCCAGTCTGTTACGTTGTATTTGCACCGTGATGGATTTTCTAACTGCTGTCACGCCCCGACCTGTCAAGTGTGTGTCGAGGCAGATGGCTTTCTTATTTAGATCCCATGTGGCCTAGATCACAGAGTACACCCGGTTGATGCTAGTGTGCACTTTGACCCCCATCAAGGTGTGAAGTGCTCCATGAATTCAAAGGAAGGAGGAGAAAAAATAATGCATGCAGACACACACACACACACACACACAAGCCTTCAGCTGACAGGCCACAGCTCAGAGTTCACACTCTAATGCTGTTGACAAGCCCTCACCTGGATCCCGATTCACTTCCCTGGGGGAGATGAGTGAGAGTGCAGGGATACACCTGTGACAGGCGACCCAGTTCACGGAGGTTTTCTCACCTTTCGTTCACCCCTCTGTTCACCCCGCATTTATAAGTTCAGCTTCAGGAGCGGATGGCATTTTTAATTTTTGTCACTTGCAGCTGAGGTTGTGGTGCAGGTGGAAGAGTGGGTTGGCCACCAATCGCAGGTTCAATCCCCCCGGCCCTTCCCACACAGAGTATCTCCTGATATATGCTGTGGGTGTGAATGATGATGGTTGCTGGCATTTATTGGAAACTCTCAGGTCTAAAAAGTAGACAGGATAAAGAACATTTAACACTCCGGGATGCCTGGATATTCTCAAAGACAAGGTTCAGTTTTGTGCCTGCTGAAGCTCTTGAAGATCAGCAGCGTATCCGTTTTCCCAAATGCTTTTCAATTTCGGGGGGTTGTTTCCGACCAGGGCCCAAAGATTACTAGACACTTTAAATAGTTTCAAAATAAAAAAAATAGCAACAACAGCTTTATGTACGACCTTTTATTGATATTTTTAACTTGATTTAAAAACTATTAAAAGGGACCTTATATCTTTCAAGTTATGAGTACATGTACAGGTAATCCCCTGGAGCAAACGCTCATGTTTCAGAGAATTTCTTTCTGCTCATGCCTCAGTGTGATGTTAATGGGATCAGATATTCCTAATCTAGTCATCTCAGCTACATCCATCTGGTTCTGTCTAAATCTGCTGACGAGGGGCTGCCAATCAGAAGAATGGTGTCCTTAAATGGAGAGGAGCTGAGAACGGCTTGTTTCAGACATGATGATCTGAGGTGCTGCACTAATGTTTAGTATAAGGATTATTATGATCTATGAGTCATGCAAAGCTATCCTAGTAGAGTTCAAGAATGAAAAAATATGAAGCTGAAAATGAGCTTAATAGTTCCACTAAATGTTTTTTCACGTATGTTGATGTCAAATGTTTCCATTTGAAAAAGCTATTTGACAAACTCTAAACATAGTGACACTCAAGCTTTTAATGCATTTCTTCGGAGCCTGTTTCCAGTTTCAGGTTAAATCTCTTCAGCCAAGACTGGGAAAGTCAGTACTGTCTAAACTCCAGCACCTCAACCAGACACATGGCCACCTCTGTCCAGGGGGAGGTGTTGTGCTCCTGAGGGCATCCTTGATGCTTGACCTCCACCATGTTCTGTGACTCAAAGTCCTGTGGCCAGGTGATCCTGGAAGGGAAGGCTCTGGGAAACAACACCCTCTCAAGGACATCCAGAGGCAGGTTAGGAGCGGGGTGAGGCATGCTGTCCCACCTGGTGGTGTACTGAAGTTGCCTGCTGGAGCTGTCCCTCCAAATGGTGACGCTGTCACGGAGGTCGGGTTCTGCGAGGGGTTTCTTTGGCTGGAGGCCTGTGAAGATGCTCCATGGTTTGAAGGGTGGCTTAGGAAGGGTGTTCCTGTCCTCTTTAATGCCTTCAGGCTGCTGCTCCTCACAGTGGGCCTTTGCATGCTTTGACTCACAGTTGCTCTGATCTGCTAAGAAGCACTTGGTGTGATACTTGCTCACCTGCCCCTTGAGGGAGAAATCCTTCAGGAGGGCCACGCCTTTCTTCTTTGCCCACTCAGCCACCTTTTCATCAGTGAGTGTCTAATGATGGAGGGAGAAAGTGCAAACAGCATAAGAAAGCTGTTCATAAAAACCTTGACTCTACTATAATAAAGCCCCCATTTACACTGCAGAGGCCTTCCTGCCTCACGGGAGCCGCGGTTTTATACTTTATGAGCCAGTTTAAGACAAGGCGTTGATAATGTATGTGTATATTCTTTATATTTAAAGAGTATACACATACACATAATATTCTATTTAACTTTCCATGTCATATAAACAAACTCCTATAAACTAACCTTTCTGGTGAGATTATTCTGTTTGGCCATGCCCACAAGATCAGTGTATAAGGCCTGAACCAGCACTCTCTCCTTTCTTTCTTTCTCTTTATTCACATGCCACATACAGCTCTTCAGATACCTGCCCACACACACACACACACACACACACACACACACACACACACACACACACACAAACAAGAGATTTGTTTAAAGGAAGTAGCTGTTTCAACTACAGCAGTTTAAACTTTTATTTTGGTGTGAGCTTGCTCTACCTCGCTACCTTCCTGTGGCACCAGATGCAGGCTAAGTCCAGAGGTGTCTGCCCCAAGCTGTCCTTGGCCAAAACATCTGCTCCGGCCTTCACGAGGATCTCTGCACAGTCGAGAAAGCCCTCAGAGGCGGCCAGGTGCAACGGGGTCTGCCCCAAGTCTGTGGTGCTGGTTTGAAACACCCCCCAAAAAACCTCAGCTTTATTTATTATCATCACCATCATAATTATCATCATTGCAATCATTATCTCTTTTAAAAAGCATTTCTTTGGTAATTTGAATGTTGTGTATGCAGCCGCTGAGCGTGAACAATTTCATATTTCTAAAATAACCCAAAATAGAAAATACAGCTGCCTGCGCAGCCTTCTTACGCATTAACGTCGGCGTCGTGCTCCAGCAGGTATCTGAGACAGGCACAGGTTCTGGGGAAGCTCTTGTAGGACAGGACCATGTGGAGGGGCCGGCGACCTTGGGAATCACTGCTGTTGATCCACTGTTGCCTGGACTTCACCAGGAGCTGAACATCACCCAACTCGCCATAAAGGCAGGCCACGTGGAGTGGCGGCAGACTCTGGAAGATAACGTTTCTACTCTTAGGTCTTTTTTATTTTAATTTATTTTTTTTACAGAGGACGATTTGATGTCACTGCAGAAAAACGAAAAGGTGTAATTAAGAATATTAATAACAGATATTTCAGTTTAGATATTTCAAGTTCAGGGTCCTTGGCCTGGACAAAATTAAAAAGGACGTGATTTTCTTTGCCTGTTTCATCATAGGCAGTGATGTATTTGGAAAATAATGTTTGTACATTTTCTCAAAAATGTTTTAAATCCCAAGAGTATCATTAGCGTTGTTAAGATAGTTTAGGAATAAGTGTATAAGTGGGTAAAAATGATAATTTGATACCTTTTTGTGCAAATGTTTAAGAAAAGACAAAATGTTACAGTTTTGCTAATGATATCTTGGTCACAGCTCATTTTTATATACACAAAGCAATGTTTTTCAGTTCCTCTAATTGTTGTGACAAATTGAAAATCTTCTTTCAGTCCCTTAAAAAGACAAACTTCTGACTTTTCAAAATCAACAGTTCTAATACTTTGGTCCTAGGAGTCAACAGCTAGCTAGCAGACACCAGCTAGCAAGAACTTCTGAGCTGTTCCAGCTGGCTGATTTGGGTAGCTGATTAGCCAGCTGCTGAGCATGGACAAAAGTTTGAATGAGTCCACATAGTCTGATCCAAACCAGATAAATGGTTGTTAGGATTATGAGGAGGTTCTTGGAAGATTTTCTCCCCTGTAAGGGGGATCCCAAAAGTCTGAGAACCACTGCTCTAAATCACTTACAATTGCTAGTGATTCACCTTAAGTGTTAATTCTATTTATATTTTAGTTTTCTTTTCAAATATATGAATGTCTTTTAGAAATTTGTAATATCCCCCCACACACTGATTTCTCTCAGCTGTTCTGAATTACCTTTCAGTGTGTTTATTGGCTTGATAGGTATTTTTTTTAAATTCCTTTTAACTCTTCTGTGTAAGGTGATCACGAGTGTTTTGAAATCAACACGTTATCACTCCCAAAACGTAACATTTTAGGCTAGGTGACAAATCGTCAACATTTTTCGCTTTAGGGTACCCAACACGTTCC